TGGCGTAATTGCTACTTTAGTCTGTCTTGGATTCGTGTGTGTGTGTGTATAGTGGTGTGTGTGTGTGTGTGTGTGTGTGTGTGTGTGTGTGTGTGTGTGTGTGTTTTCTGGGGGAAAGTCTCGCACACTCGCACAACTGCCTCTCTTGTACTTCCCAAGCTACTAATTGTTCTTTTAAGAGGTAAATAGAATAATGACACCCACCATCACAAACATCATCATCCCCTGAACCTTTGAATATGTTATTTTACCTAGGAAAGGCTCTGCAGGTGCAATTAGGTTAAGGATCTGCAAATGAGGAAATTACCCTGCACTACCAGGCAGACCCAGTGCAATCACAAGTGTCCTCACAGGAGGGAGGCAGAAGGTCAGAGAGGGGACGCTTTGCCCCTGTTTTTGAAGATGAGGCAAGGTGATAGGAGTCAAGGAAGGTAGGTGGGCCCCAGGAGCTGGGAGAGCTAAGCATGATACGGAGCCTCTAGAAGGATGAAGCCCTGCACCCTCCAGAACAATATGACAGCAGCTTGGTGTTATTTCGAGGTGGATAATAACTTACTTATGCGTCAATAGCACACTGATATGCTCTACTTGTATTTATTTATTTGCCTTTTATTACACTGTTCTTTGAACCATAAACTCCTTGAGAATGGGATCGATTGATCAGACTGATTGCCACACCCACTTGGGTGGGTATCTGGCACAAGCCCATGGAGATTCCTAATATGCCTTTAAATGTAAAGCAAATGTCATACGTGGGGCATTTGAATTGAAATAAAGGCAAACCTTCCATAACTAGATTGAAACAGTAGTGCCCGGGAACCCAGGTCGGCTGAAACACATGTGTGGGCATTGTTTCAGCTGGTTATCTTTCATGGGGCAATGATGCCAGACCAAGGGCAAGCCTCAGCAGTGGTGGGAAATTTATTAAGCAGCTCCTTAAGGTGATGATGCTTTGGGGTTTATGTAGTCAGATGTTTCTCCGATCCTGCCTGGCCCTGAGGTTGGGATGAATCTCTCCCAACCAGTAAACACACAGAGGCTTATATTAACTATAACTGCTTGGCCATTAGCTCAGGCTTACGACTGACCAGCTCTTTCTTACACTTAAATTAACCCATTTCTATTTATCTATGTTTTGCCACGTGTTCTGTGGCTTAGCGGTCTGCTGGCATGTTGTTCCTTGGGCGGCAGGCTGGCACCCCTCTGCCTCTCTCTTTTCTTCCTATCTGCTTGGATTTCCACCTGCCTCTAAACTGCCTTGCCAAAGGCCAATAAAGCTTTATTTATCAACCAATCAGAGCCACACATATTCACAGCATACAGAAAGACATCCCACAGCAGGCTTATGCTGTTATTTTACCTCATTGACACTCTGTACTGTTTTTGCTCTTCTTCAGTTTTCCATAGGAATATATGTGAGGACCCTGGTAAAGAGAGCTGAAGCTCATGGCCTTAGCTGGTCATCTCAGTTATGAGCTACTTTCAGCAAGTCCCCTGTCTCCTGTCAGTTATTTCTTCTCAATGCATTCATTCATCCCCCTCTCCCAACACACACACATTAATTCATCAATTATCAAGAATGTTCTGCAGCTTGTGTAAAGATCCAGAGAAGAAAAAGGCAAAGCATTGGGTGTCAAAGTGTATGCATCAGAGAAAGGAGAGGAGGTAGACAAAGTGGAGTGGTGACTGGGACATTTGATGCTGCTATTACTGTTATGATGATAAAACACCCTGACAAATACAATTAAAGGAGAAAGGGTTGATTCTGGTTCACAGTTTAAGGCTCTAGTCCATCATGGTGGGAAAGTCAAGTGAGTGAGAATTGAAGCAGCTGGTCACACCTATCCACAATCAGGAGGCAGACTAAATGAATACCTGTTGGTGCTCAGTTCCCTTTCTCTGTCTATAATACAGTCCAGGATCTCAGGCAGGGACCTTTACCTCCCTCTGTGGTACTGCCGAGTTCATGTGGATTCACGTGTGTAACGTTTCAATCTAGCTCTGAGACATCACTCAAAAGATCATCCAATTTCTATTCAGATACCCACAAAAAAGACCTCCACTTTAAATTCAATGGACGAGTCTTCCCACCACATATACTATACTGTACTATATTATACTATACTATACTAATATATTATAATATAATAATATAATCATGATAATCCAAAATAAATAATACATAATTTTAAAAAGGTAATCCTCCAACAGTTGTGCTGTGGGATGGTCTGTATGTCAAATGTGTGTTCTGATTGGTCAATAAATAAAACATTGATTGGCCAGTGGCTAGGCAGGAAGTATAGGCGGGACTAACAGAGAGGAGAAAAGAAAGAACAGGAAGGCAGAAGGAGTCACTGCCAGGTGCCGCCATGACAAGCATCATGTGAAGACGCCGGTAAGCCTCGACCCATGTGGCAAGGTATAGATTTATAGAAATGGATTAATTTAAGCTATAGGAACAGTTAGCAAGAAGCCTGCCACGGCCATACAGTTTGTAAGCAATATAAGTCTCTGTGTTTACTTGGTTGGGTCTGAGCGGCTGTGGGACTGGCGGGTGACAAAGATTTGTCCTGACTGTGGGCAAGGCAGGAAAACTCTAGCTACACAGTTGTGTCCGGGAGGCCCACCATTCAGATGATTCTAGATTCTTTAAGTTGGTGACACCAACCGTCTGAGAGCTATGCTAAGTTGTGCATTACACAGCTACATATTTTCTTCTTTATCATTTCTGTAACTTGTACCACACAGGCAAGACTGAGGTAACAGTGAGTGCTGTTTGCTGTACACTCAAGGCCCAAGCTTTCTCTCACTAAAATGTTACACTCAGTCCATAAAGATAGATGGACTGCTAGGGTTCGGGCTCCCGACTCAGCACTGCAGCTTTTCAGTGTGATGGTCTAAATCAGTGGTTCTCAACCTGTGGGCTGTGGCCCCCACAAGGGTCACATATCAGATATACTGCACATCAGATATTTATACTATGATTCATAAGAGTAGCAAAATTACAGTTATGACAGAGCAATGCAGTAATTTTATGGTTGCGGGTCACCACAGCATGAGGAACTGTATTAAAGCGTGGCAGCATTAGGAAAGGTTGAGAACCACCAGTCTAGACGGACAAACAAAAGTTCACCCCTTTCCAAAAGGAAGTCAGCATCCCTTCTCATTGTCACTTAGTGGGTCCAAATTATTAAACTCTCTTCACCACAAATCATGGCTGCTCTGCTGCTAATTTATTGTGTGATTTGGAAAATTCCCATCCAGTCTCTTCTGATTCCTATTCATCCCTGCCTACCTCCTATGATTATTGTGGAAATGAATGTGATAATAATATAAGGGATGTTGCAGACTAAAAGCTATTTTTATGTGCTGCCCTTTAAGTAATAATAGTGATTCTAATATAATATTTACATGAATAATTATTGCTGTTTTTCTTATTGCCTTCTCACTATTATTAACATGGGAACGTTGTTATTTGCTTCCAAGAATCAGGCAGCTGTCATTTGTCAAGTGATTCAGTTGCCACAAGACACAAAGCAGGCTCCATCAGGATGCACTCAGAGCCCTCTTCCCTAAACAGCACATCTTTCCCTCGGGACCACAGGAGCAGATTTTATCTATTGTGAAAGCACTTATTGGGACACAAGGGATGGCCTAGTTCTGAGCCTTCTCCAGGAATGATCTTCTCACTCTCACATAGGTGGAGGATCTGCCTCTGTGCAGTAGGTGACCAGAGCCTACCAGGAGCCGCTGTTGGATCCCGTGGTATCCAGTCCCCCCTTTTGATTTCATTGTCTGACGCACATAGGTATGTCTCCATCCTTCTGACATGGCTGGTCTAAACAGACTTACCTCTCAGACTCTGAGGAAGTAGATTGTGACTTTCAAAAGGACGACTTCTTTTGTTGCTACTTCCTCAAAGTGCTTTTGCTCCTACTTAATTACAAGTCCCAAGTTGGCCTCCTTAATGACCTCCATCTCCCTTGTTGATGAACTACAATCAACAAAGTTTCAATGTTATTTGTAAATGCTGCAGCTTAGCAACGGGGGTTCTCTGTTATCCATGACTAGATATTAGTACAAAAGATGACCTGACCCTGCATTGCTATTTCCAGAATGAACAACTACTACCGTGCTCAATGGACAATTGGTCCTGGGGTAGGCAACTGAACATGGAGATGAGGGTCTCAGCCCTGTTATTCATTGCCCTTGTGACAATTTATTCCTCTTTTCTCTGTAACATGGGCACATACAAATTTCTTTGCAGCAAATGTCATACTTACATGTGTTGGTAACTAGGAAGTACTGTGCAAAGATTAGGTCACAGCAGATGATTTTAGGGCTTGAAACAAGGAGCGGGGGTATATATTCATTGTTTTGTATTGGTTGTCCCTCCTGATGTCAGGGAGCGGGGGAGAGGATCGGTGGCAGTGGAGTTGTGAGAACAGTGGGGACAGACTAGGCACTTGAAGTTAGGAGAGCTTGTCCTTGTCAGGCTGTCACTTACTCCGTGTTACGACAACCCAAGCAGTCCCCTTTCCAGGTCTTCCCCAGCCTCTGTCTTATGATGGATAAAGGTTCTGCTACTAAAGCTAGACTAAGCCAAGCCAATTTTAAAACATGCCAGCACCATTAGGCCATACTGAAAGGGTCAAGCAGTACTCATGGCTCACAGCAACAGAAGAGAGCGCTGAATGCTGTGGTGGCGGAAGAATCACGAGCCATGGTTACCTTTTTAGAGCTTAATTAAGAGGAAGGAGAGAGAAAGAGAGAGAGAGAGAGAGAGAGAGAGAGAGAGAGAGAGAGAGAGAGACACCCCGCACAGAGGACAGAGGCCCGTGGGAGGGCACGCCCACTGTTTAGGCTGGGACGCCATCGCAGGCTGGTGATGTAATAAGGCCATCATCCTTACACAGATGATTTCTAACATCCCCGCTGTTACGTACTAGAATAGGTTCAATTTATAAAGCTGAAGAAATTAATAGTTACAGGGGAAATGACATCTTAAAGCCAAGCCGCTGTCACTTCGTAGATAAGGGGTAGTTTGAGTAGGAAACCAAACTGGTTAACTCATGATACAGAAGTGTGGTGGCGAGTGCCATACCCCATACATACTGAAGGGGCAGAAACCTGGCTGTGAGTTCTGTGCCTAACCCAGGACAAGACTGGGCCTTAACCTCCTCCTCACCAAGCCAAAGGGTGTGTACTCAATGTTTTTTTTTTTTTTTTGAAGTTGTTCCCACTCCGAGTGTAACTCCTAACAAGCCCTGGGCACAAGGAATCAGGCCGGCCTCCCTGCGTGCTGAGAGGCAAGCGCCTGGTTGGAGCAGATGGAGCGTGTCTATCATGGCGGCTGCACAACCAGTCTGGTCACTTCAGATGTCTCTCCAATTAACACTCATGGAGGCGGCCAACTGCTCAAGCAGCAGAATGTGATGGTGGAGAAGATGGTGGGAAGGCCCGGGCCCGGTGCCACACCTATTATCTAAGCCTCCTGCGTGAGTAGGGGAGGAGTAGGAGGGGCCAGCCAGACTTCACAGAATGTGGGAGGTGGGAGGAGGGACGGGTAAAAATGGGAGGTGAGATGCCTGCTCAGATTTCTTTAGCTGCCGAGTCCTAGAAAGTTAGAGCTGAGAAAACTCATTCAGTAACAGCCCTTACTACACACTTGGATTTCATTTCCTCTTCTTCTTGCCATAGTGCTGGGCACAAGGGCGCTGTCACCTCTTGCTCCTTGCCTCCTGAAGGATGTCTCGGCCTCCTATTTTATCTATTTTCCCTCTCAAAATCATGTCCGACAAGAGAGCCAGCGTGAGATGTCTAAAATACAAACATGGTTGGTTATATGATTCCCTGTAGTACTAGTTCCTCATGGTTTTGGGGTGGGGGGGAATGTAAACCCTGTAGCCCCAACTTGTTCTCAACTTGTGGGTGGGTGGGGTCAAACTACCTTTTGACAGGGATCCCCTAAGACCATGGGAAAACACAGAGGTTTACATTGCAATTCATAACAGGAGCAAAATTACAGTGATAAAATGGCAACAGAAATAATTTTAGGATTGGGGGGTCACCACCGCACGAGGAAGTGTATTAAAGGGTCGCAGCATGACGAAGGCTGAGAACCACTGCCCTAGCCTAACACACAGGTTCCTGGGGAATCCCACTTTTTGCCCCTTCCATCATCCCACAGTGTCTAGCCGCTACTGGGGGAATCTTTCTGAAATCCCCTCAGTGCTCTCCTTTGCATACCCCTTCCTCTGTGGTCTTCTTCCCCTTTGTCAAAGACGCTCTTGGACATCCCAGTTTAGATCCCACCTCTCCTGGGCGCCATTCCCAGACTGGCACTCCAAGGTCCGTGCTCCAAGACCTGACCTATCCCTCCCTGCTGGGTAACAGCTATGAGAGTTTTCACCGTCTTCAAAGTTGGTTCCTGTAGGTAGACCTCACCTTCTCTGCTTTACCACCCTGAGATTTCAGGGAATGGGGGATTGTTCTGCTGCCAGAAAGCAAGACTTACTTTGACAACAGATTCTTGTTTTGGTTTGGTTTGGTTTTTCGAGACAGGTTTTCTCTGCGTAGCCCTGGCTGTCCTGGAACTCACTCCATAGACTAGGCTGGCCTCGAACTCACAGAGATCCATCTGCCTCTGCCTCCCAAGTGCTGGGATTAAAGGTGTGTGTCACCACCACAGAGGGACAACAGATGTTTTAGTGAGCTCCAGAATCATTTCCCACTGGGGTGCCCCACACTTCCTTCAGCTGAGACCTTGGTCAAGGAAGGTCCTGAATATGAACTGCCTGATTGGTGGAGCCCTTTTCTTTAGACCAGCCTCGAAGGAGGAAGTGATTCACTGGAGGCCACAGAGAGGGAGGGAGGGTCTAAGATGTTACACCCTTGACTCCCATAGCTGCGCTCCCACATAGTTTTAGCCAACTCTTTTCCTGTGAGAAAGATCCACTCGCTGGACAGGGTAACTGTGCAAATGCAAAGGAAATCTTCAGTTGCTCTGGTGTGCCAATTCCCCAAGGTCGTGGAATTCCTGGGTTTGTGGGTATTGAGAGATGCGCCACATGGAGCAGGCAAAGGGAGAGCAGGGCTGTCTGAATAGGCCGTGAAGTCCAAAGGCTGGCAACAGTGGACGTTATTTAAGGAAAAACAAATAGGATTATAGATGGCACTCACTACTTCGGGTGGGGATGTTATCTATGGGTCTTTGGGGCCAGGCAATGGCAAACAGACTTCCAGAATCTTCCTGCTTCAAGCACGTAGGAAATCCCCGCCGGTGTTGTTCTTGGGAGGGAAGTCTGGCTATGAGTAGTTTTTCCTGAAAAATCAAAACAGCTCCTCCGAGTGGGCCTGCCTTCCAGGGGCAGCTTGGAGCTGGGCATTCTTCCCTGTGCCTGGGTGTGAGTGTGAAGGTATTGGGAGGAGAGAAGGGTGTCTGAAGGTCACAGTGCTGGGAATCCAAACCTCCAGGCCTTGATTTATAACTCCGGGCCTCAGAGCCCCTCCCGCTCAGCCCACAAAAACCCCCAATTTTCTTCTCTGTGAGCCAGGACTCTCCAGAGCTGGGAAATGAGATCTAAGCCGTGGCTTTTTCTGGGCTTACGTATGGATTCTTCCTTGAGATGATGGCAGAAAGGGAGAGAAATGGTTCTTGAAAGTGTGGGCAGAACACCAGGGTGAGTCAGAAAAAAGTGGCCTGGAACGGGCTGGAGATAATCCAGCCTGATGCTCTCCTTGGCTTCTGTTCTTACCTTTTTCTTTTTACTCTTACCAGGACTTCCAAGGAAAATCTTATAGGGAAACTCAACACACTGAACTTAAAAACAGAACTGCTCCAGGCTACTGTGGATCAAGGTTCTGTCCTGCCTGTCTGAGTTTCCCGTGGAGCCTGTGAACCCCTGTGAATTTCTGGGCTCTGCAGAACACAGACTGGATACCCCTGCTATGATCCAGTGCCACCATGTAGGATACGGGATGAAACTCAGGGGAGTAGTGGGGAACTAGGGGAGGAGCTGGGGTGCCTAGGCCCCCCCCCCGCCCCCGGCTTTCTTCCTCATCCTCCTCTTCTTCTAGTCTGTGTTGGATTCCATGTGGGCCCTATAAAGACTTCGTCTTGCCTCTGATTCAGCACTGAGTAAATCTCATTTTCAGCAAGGGAAAAGGCATTAGAAGTGCTAGGTTCACAGCTCCGGGAAATCAGCAGTCAGATTGCTAGCCCACCTCCCAGGCCTGATAGGGGTGATTCTTCTCTTCAAACTTGGGACCATCATTCCCATTCCACTTTGCCTGAGTCCCTGGCATATATAAGCTCTCCTGGCCTGGGCTCCTGTCTTCTTGTTGATATAAAGTGAGGAGAGAATTCGCTTTTGTTCTTTACTCTAACAGGATCTGACCTGCCTCTGAGCCTGGCCCAGGCATGAGAACGTGTACCTACCTACTCCTAGACTCTTGTAATTCAATCTCTGCCTGAATCTCTGTTCACCTGTTCCCAACAATGCTGACCATGCCTGCTCTGCTTATCACCCAGGACCCAACTGGGACATGCTTGACACAAGCTCCTGTCTCCCCCTTCTGTCTAGACGTGTTTCCCTGACAAGCTTTTCACGTGCACAAGTGTCTGGAGAAGTGGCATGGAGGTAGAAGGGGTTAACTGCACTTGCACGTTTCGGGCTCTCAGGTCTGGGCAGGACAGCTGCTCTAAGCCAGTCCTACAGCCTCCAACTGTGAGCTCCTGGTCTCTGTCAGAAGAGCAACACTGGACAACGCTCGTCTGATTCAGCAGAGGTCAGATGAGACACATTAGTCTGTTTTCGTAGACTGTAGGTGTCTAGCCAAGTCCAGTCATGTCACAGGGATAACTGAATCTTCTCCTTTTCCCTGGATGCTACAAAATCCACATTTTTCCCCTGCCAAACCACCACTTACGAAGAATGCTCCAGGACATCTCAAGCTCTGAGACCTAAACGTCTATAACGTCTATGCCTGGTCATTTTTTTTAAGTCCCAAGACTATGGCTGTCACCCTGCTGAGGGACAAATTCAGCTCCAGAGAGTCACTCTAATTCAGCACATACAAACCCAAAGAGGACCCTAGTCTACCCTGTTGCATCTAGCTGCTCCCTCAGAAATACAGGTGCCCGAATTATATCCCCTGGCAGCTGCCAGAAGTCAGGGGAGGCCAAGGGCTTTTCTTCTGAAAGGGACTAGCATCAAAGCAGCCTAGGCAGGAGTCTGTATTTCCTCCTCCAGGGCAGCCTAGACTGGGAAACCCTTTCAGAGTCTCCTCCCAGCAGTAACTGGTCACAGAAAATGGGCTCAGGCCTCTATGACTAATACAGGCCAGAATCGACTAGCCTATGGGCCTAAATCTCTTAATCTCTTATAACCAAAGGTGCCCGACTTCCCAGAGCTCACACTAGGAGCACCCCCCCCCCATGCTTCCACCATGCAAAAAGGAGTATGCTTCACCAGAAACACCAATTTGAGGTAGAGATCCTAACACTTACATTTCTGCATTAAGGGGGGCCCCCAGGGCCAGTATTTCCCATTCTTGAAGCAGATAGAAAAAAGATCACATACACAGCTTCCGAGAGCCTAGAGTCCACTCCTGCCTGGTGACTCTTTCTTCTGTGACCCATCCTTACCATAGACCAAGAGGCCATCCTTCCTGGGACTTACCATAGTTGTCCAAAGAAGGCACCAGGAACCACGATCCTTTCGATGAAGCCATGGCTAGCCCCACGGTGCCTCAGCAAGGCTGAGATTAGAGGTAGGTGTGGTACTGGTGGGAGAGCTTTCTTATGGGGGACTGTGAAGATGAATCCTGGGTATTGCAGACCCCCACAGAAGTACCCTGGAGTAGACTAGCTAAGAGTACGTAGGAGAAGGCAAAACCTGCCAGAATCCCTATACAAGCTGTCACTACTGTTGTTCTGCTGTTGTTACCAGATTATAGACACACACACACACAAACACACACACACACACACACACACACACACACACACACACACACACACACACACACACACACAGAAAGAGAGAGAGAGAGACAGAGACAGAGACAGAGACAGAGAGAGACAGAGAGACCTTTAAAACCTCACTGGAAGTAAGTAGTTTAGAGAGTGAGAGGCCTGGTTGGCCTACCCCTCTGGCTCAGCTTAGTCTAGAGCTCAGATCTTACATTGCCATACAAGATCTCACATCCAGTATCCCCAAGGATCATGAGCTTAGACAAGAGTTCTGGACCTTGGGCCATTCACGTTACCTTTCACAACCCAGGCTTCATCTTCAAAACACAGTGTGAATACTTCCCCTAGCAGCTAGGATCAGCTAGATGCCAAAGAGCAATTCCCAGAAGCAGCCAGCCCTCAGTGCTCCCTTTCCGAGCCCACTTCTGAAGGTGAGGCCTGAGGAGAAAGCACAGGTTTTAAAGGACGTGGAGTCCTGAGGGAGGCAGCTGCAAAGAGTGACGCTCAG